AACAAACTTAACAGCTACCAACCCTGTGAACAGGCTGGCTTTCTGGCTATAGTACTAACGATCACCTACAAGTGATAAAATATCTAATAGAAAAATGTGTCGAATACAACAAACCACTAGTGCTGATCTTTGTAGACTATGAGAAAGCGTTCGATACTGTGGACCAGCATGAGATGCTCCTAGCTCTAGCAGATTGCCGTATCGACTACCGCTGTGTAGCACTCATAAAGAACATTTATGACACTGCCACAGCCGTTTAACGACGTTTAACCTCTTGATTAAACTCTGTCTTTTTATTCAGGATTTGCGTTAATGAGAAGAGATGATCTCTTATGGATCGTCCAGCTTTAATCCGTTATCACAGCTATTTTTCTTTCCTTTATTATAGATAGTGGATACGTATGAAATTTTCCATTCCTTAGGTGCTTTCGATGTGCTGTTGCTTTTTTGAAACAGGTCCCCCAAAGCCCGGAAAAGTTTTTCAATCCCACACTTCAGTAGTTCTTCCGGAATGTTTCCTGATCCTGAGGCTCTGCCGTGTGTCATGACCAATATTTGGTTAGCATCTTTGCTAAGTTCTAATTCCATTCTTGCGGTTGTGACAGTCTTTCAATATATCGGCCTGTACTTATGATGCTAAGAAGTCGCCATAATTCTGTACTTTTCCTTCTTCCTATAGAGGTGTTGAGCTTTAAAGATTTCTTAGTCTTTTCTTATTCATTTCACGTCTTGTCACTAATTATTCCGTGTACTCTTATATTCTTCTACTTAGGCATTTGTGGAGTTGCGATATCATGTTTAATTTTTTTCCCATCAATATTATTTCTAGCGTTTCCTTTGCCCCTTGGAGACCCAAAGCGTCTAGTGCTGCTGAGTGCAAGAATTAATTTGTGTAATTACATTTCTCTGCTACATTAACACACCCGATCCCTGTTTCGTTGGGCCCAGCCAATTTTTATTGACCCTGTTCATTCTTTTCCAAGCATTTAATAGTATTTTGTGTTGGTTTTAAGTTGTTATGGGGTGTTCTGGTATGTCTACTGATGTGTTGGTTCGCGTTGTTTGTAAAGTCATTATTCCCTTCACAAGATAATGGCTGCGTCCACATAAGGCACCTCCAGATAGTCCAGGGAGTCAATCTTCTGGATTCTGGATTTTTGGCGTATTATTTTAGTCACTAATATATTTAAAACTCTTTGCTGTCTGTCGCCTGGTGAATTAGATAATGTTTCTATTTAACTAAACATTTTAAGGTTGTTTTGCTCTCAGATCTCTATAAATCTTCTTTCATTGTCATTAGTAGCTTCCACTCCATATTTTCCAAGTACTCTGTCATGTTCTTTTCTTTTTATTCTTCCGCTCTCGATGCTCGATTTTGCTTAATTCCATATTTAGCTGTTCGAAAAAAGAGTCCGTATTATGGATCAGGTCGTCGTCCTTGACGCCATAAACCCCCAATAAAGTTGTGTTGTTACGCAGAATTTTGGAGTTCATCTTTATGATTCCTTCACTAATTGGTCCCCAGGTTTTCCCAATTTTCTGTGTATTACTATGGACACACCTCGTTTTGCTCTTTCTTCCTACCGCACTCCACTAGAGAAATTATTGTAGCAACCACAACATTCAAAGCATTTTTTAACAAATAGTCAGAAAATTTGAAAAATAATATTGATAAAATCCAGAAAAAATAATCATGTTCACGCACAAGGACATGACTTTGTCAGTACAAGAGTAAAATGAAATTTCTTTGCTTCTAAAAAATCACAGAGAACCAGGATTTTAGTGAAGTGTTCCGAGTTTTAAACCCGATTCTTCGACTTTGTCGTGCAAAAGGTCCAAGCTGCTGCTTCTGCAGGTTGAACGTAGAGATTGATTTTTATGGAAGCTTATAAGTTGCCTTATCGGCGTTTGAGAAGGCTCAAATTTGGAAACTTCTACAAAATCAGGAAGTGCATCAATTTTGGTCAAATTTTATGAAGTTGAAGTTCGATTCTCCTGCTTTGTTGGAGAGAAGCTGGAAGGTGCTACGTTTTCGAGATGAAAGTTCAGATTAATTTTTATCGAAGCTTGTAAGTTGCCTAAACGGCATTTTGAAAGACTAAATTTTAACAGTTTCTGCAAAATAAAAAAAAACGTAGATTTTTGTGAAGTTTTTCTACTGTGAAGCTCAATGTTTCTGCTTTCTTTTTTTTGCTAAATAATTTTACAAAACTAAAAAATAAATTGTAATTTTTGTCTGCTCAAAGTTGCAGTATGCTGTTTCGTCGAGTTGAATGGTCCAGACTTATTTAATGCTTATAAGTTGCCTTAACTGTGTTTCAAAAGGCTCAAATTTGAAAGTTTCTACGAATTCAAGAAGTATGTGAATTGCGGTTAAATTGAAGTTCGATTCTTTGGCTTTATTGGAGAGAAACTGCAAGGTGCTACGCCAGGTCTTCGGGTTGAAAGTTCAAATTATTTTTACGGAATCTTGCAAGCTGCCTTTTGACAGTTTCTGCAAAATCAGAGAGAACGTAGACTTTGGTGAAATTTTGCGACCGTGAAGCTCAATTTTTCGGTTTTTGCGTGCAAAAGTCGCAGTAAGCTGCTTCGTCAAGTTGAAGGTCCAGATTTATTTTATCGAAGCTTATAAGTTGCCTTAACTGCGTTTAAGAAGGCTCAATTTTGGAAGTTTCTACAAAGTCAGGACATACGTGAATTGTGGTGAAATTTTGTGTTATAGTTGAAGACCGACGATTCAGCTTTCTTGTGCAGAAGCTGCAAGGGGCTGATTCCTGTTGTTGAAAGTCCAGATTGATTTTTATGGTTTTTGTTTTGTTCAAGTTTGTATGCTGCCTTAACGGCGTTTGAAAAACTCAATTTTGACAAGTTTTTAGAAAATCAGAGGGAATGTGTATTTTCGTGAAGTTTCGCTAGTTTGTAGCTCGATTTTACTTTTTCATCGGGCAAGAGTTGCAAGGTGCTGCTGCTCCGGGATAAAAGTACAAATTTATTTTTATGGAAGCCTATAGGTTGCGTTAACGGAGCTTTAGAGAACTGAATTTTGTAAGTTTCTACAAAATCAGGAAGTACGTGTATTTTTGTGCAATTTTGTGAAGCTGAAGCTCAATGCTCCTGTTTTGTTGCGCTAAAGCTGCACGGTGCTACTTCGTCGGGTGGAAAGTTCACATTCATTTTTATAGAGGCTTGCAACCTGCCTTAACGCCGTCGTTTTGGAAGACTCATTTTTGGAAGCTCCTATCAAATCAAAAAGAATGTGAATTTTTGCGAGTTTTAAGCTCGATCTTTCAACTTTATCGTGCAAAAGTTGGTTCATTGGAGTTTAGTTGAATGAAACTTTGATAGCAGCTTGCCGCCTAAGCCGCCAAAAGGCTAGAAGAGCTTATGATCAGAGTAATGAATTGTGCAGAAGCTGCAATAGACTGCTTGTTGTTGTTGAAAGTCCTCATTGATTTTTATGGACGCTTGTAAGCTGCCCTAACGCGGTTCTAGACTCAATTTTGGAAGTTTCTAAAAATTCAGCAAGTAAGTGCATGGAAAGTTTTTCGAGTTTTAAGCTCAATTTGTCTCTTTTGCCGTTCAAAACTTACAACATGCTGCTTCTGTGGGCTGAAAGCCCAGGTTTGTTTTTATGGAAGTTTGTAAGCTGCCACTTACAAACGTTTTGGCGCTTTACAAGACTCAATGTTGGCAAGTTTTTACAAAATCGGAGAGCACGCGTATTTTCGTAAAGTTTCGCTCGTCTGAAGCTCGATTTTCCTGATTCCTCGGGCAAGAGTTGCAAGGTGCTGCTGCTCCGAAATAAAAGTACAAATTTATTTTTATGGAAGCTTATACGTTGCTTTCACGGAGCTTTAGAGAACTAAATTTTGGAAGTTTCTACAAAATCAGGAAGTAGTTGTATTTTTGTGAAATTTTGTGAAGCTGAAGCTCACTTCTCCTGCTTTGTTGTGCTAAAGCTGCACAGTGCTACTTCGTCGGGTTGAAAGTCCACATTCATTTTTATAGAGGCTTGCAACCTGCCTTAACTCCGTCGTTTTGGAAGACTCAATTTTGGAAGCTCCTATTAAATCAAAAAGAATGTGAAGTTTTGCGAGTTTGAAGCTCGATCTTTCAACTTTATCGTGCAAAAGTTGGTTCATTGGAGTTTAGTTGAATGAAACTTTGCTTGCAGCTTGCCGCCTAAGCCGCCAAAAGGCTAGAAGAGCTTAGGATCAGAGTAATAAATTGTGCAGAAGATGCAATGTACTGCTTCTTGTTGTTGAAAGTCCTCATTGATTTTTATGGAAGCTTGTAAGCTGCCCTAACGGGGTTCTAAACTCAATTTTGGAAATTTCAAAAAATTCAGCAAGTAAGCGCATGGAAAGTTTTTCGAGTTTTAAACTYAATTTGTCGCTTTTGCCGTTCAAAACTTACAACATGCTGCTTCTGTGGGYTGAAAGYCCAGGTTTGTTYTTATGGAAGTTTGTAAGCTGCCACTTACAAACGTTTTGGCGYTTTACAAGACTCAATGTTGGCAAGTTTTTACAAAATYGGAGAGCACGCGTATTTTCGTAAAGTTTCGCTCGTCTGAAGCTCGATTTTCCTGATTCCTCGGGCAAGAGTTGCAAGGTGCTGCTGCTCCGAAATAAAAGTACAAATTTATTTTTATGGAAGCTTATAGGTTGCGTTCACGGAGCGTTAGAGAACTCAATTTTGGAAGTTTCTACAAAATCAGGAAGTACGTGTATTTTTGTGAAATTTTGTGAAGCTGAAGCTCAATTCTCCTGCTTTGTTGTGCTAAAGCTGCACGGTGCTACTTCGTCGGGTTGAAAGTCCACATTCATTTTTATAGAGGCTTGCAACCTGCCTTAACGCCGTCGTTTTGGAAGACTCATTTTTGGAAGCTCCTATCAAATCAAAAAGAATGTGAAGTTTTGCGAGTTTAAAGCTCGATCTTTCAACTTTATCGTGCAAAAGTTGGTTCATTGGAGTTTAGTTGAATGAAACTTTGCTTTCAGCTTGCCGCCTAAGCCGCCAAAAGGCTAGAAGGGCTCAGGATCAGAGTAATGCCGGGCCCATCAACCCAAAGTGCAGACCATGCTTCCCCGATGCGCCGCCCATGGGTACCATCGTGCTAGTGCGCCACTGGTCGTTCTTGTGCTCGTGCTGGTGCTCGGCCGAGGCACGAAAGCCGACCCTCCTCGCTACAGTTCGCGAATCGTTGAAATCCAGACTGGTTCCATCAGGGGCGTAATTCTGGACCTAACCAAAAAACATTTGGAACCTGTTGAGGTCAGTCCAGTTCCAAGTGCACTTGGTCCATAACTGTATGTGTTTGCCAAGCAGGTTTTTCGTGGGGTTCCATACGCGGCGCCTCCAGTAGGGCCGCTGCGGTTCCTGCCTCCTCAGCCGCCACTTTCCTGGCCTGGAACCCGGCTGGCGGACACATTTGGTGCCGCATGCCCGCAAAGACCGCCGGACATTTCTAATAGGACTGCCGCTCATCAGGTCATGCCGAAAGGCCGCTACCAGTACCTGAAGAAGTTGCTACCTCTGCTCTCCAACCAGGCGGAAGACTGTTTGTTCCTCAACATCTACGTCCCGGGCAGCGGTAAGTTTTTACCCGAACTGAAGTTTTTTGAGTGGCCTAAATTAAATTTAAGAGGACACAGTACATGTGAAGGCGTTTCCTTTTTTCACCCGTTAATTATCGCTAAACCAATTACGCCGTCAGATGCAATTAGGTAAAGAAAGACTTCGGTAATTGTAATTGGTCGTTGGAGTTACGGCGCAGCGCATTTTTCATGATTTATGCATTGTTCCGTGCAAAAGAAGTTCTGCGCCCTTAAGTGAAACTGGGCACAATGGGGACATTCTTTTTAGGGCCGATTTTACGACCGAAAGGACTCATCTTAGACGGCAGTTTAGCGAAACAAGAGGTTGTAAAGTTTGCTGAAAATTCGCCGGACCTTATGCTGTGAAAGGTTTATCTGCGAATTTGCACAAAAACATTATAGCTTTATGTATATGAAAATCCCTATGTTATTTGGCCATGTTTTGGCAACAGAATAGGGCATGTTTAGTGCTTTTGCATTTTGCTTTTAGTACGCTGGCGTATATTTTTTTGTTATGAGTTCTGCTCAGTTCACTTACTTTCAGCTTTTAGTAAAGCATTTGAATAGGTTTGACTGTAATATCTACTTTATTTTTATTAATTCCAAAGTTTGTATTGTCCTCTTGTCCTTTGAGACATTCCGTTTTCATTTTGTTGATTTTAACAAAAAATTTGCTAGCGTTTTAAAGCCAGCTTTACTGCAGGTTTTTTCAAAAACACTTTCAAATTGCCAATACCTTAAACAGCGATTTTTTGGCCCAAGACTATTGGTCTTTCGAAAATTTCAGCCAAAATTGATTAGTTACAATAACAAAAAGTACATCAATGCACAGGTAATGTTTTAACAATCGCTTTTTGCAGCAACATTTTCATAATGTAAACTACGAAAACACAATTATTCTGAACAATTTGGAGAATTCAATTAACTTCTTTGCAAGTAACTTTCGAAAATGCAGACCTGGGTCAATACTTTCTTTTTAGCTAAAATTGGAGCAAAATTTAGTTCAGCATGAAAAAGTTGTCTCAATGCAAGTTGAGGCAACTTCTCTAGAAAACGCAGCGATTAATCCGATATTTCCATTTTTTAGCGTTTTTTTGTGATTTGAATACTGACAATGATTTATGAGGAAATATGTGCGTTGAGGAGTATTTGGGCACATTTCTAGTTTTGAGTCGATTATTACCTCCTTTCTTCAAAAGTTTTTTTTCAAGCGTATGGTTTTTAGAAACCAGCTTCAGGATTTCGATGGCCTAAAAACGTTTTTCCAACTTCTTCAATCGCTCAAAAATAAATACAGTTAGCAAGGAAAAACTAAGTAGGTGCATCGATAGATATTATTCGCTTATTAGCTGTTTTCTAAAATATTTTTATCGTCGTTTTTCCAATCAGTAAAAATACTGATCATTTTTTAAACTTTTAAATCAACCTTTTTTGAGTTCGCAAAATAACACCAAAAATCAATTAATTCATTAATTGCCTTCCCTTCCTATTGTTTCCCAATTTATCAAAAATCATGTTTGTTTGGAAATCTTTTATTGCTGCTATTTTTTAAAAATGGCGTCAATTACAAAATTACAATAAAAATAATAGGAAATTAAGGAAATAGTTTTTAGTTACGTTATTGGCCATAGTTAACGCTTTAAAAGTGTATTTAAAGGCAAAACTTTTCCTTAAGTTAGTTTTTCAAACAGCAAAATTTTCAGAGAGTTTAGCTTTTTTAATTCGCAGAATTGCCCCATAAATTAATGGTTTATGAACGGAGAAGGGCGGCAATCCATATTTTATTCTTATTTGGGGTTTTAATGGACACATTTCTCTAAAAATGTTCCACAATGGACATTTATCATCTTTTTTGCAGATAATTTAGTTTCTAATGTTTGCCAAACGATTTTGAACTTAAAAATTCGAATAAAAATTAGCCAGTTAGGGTAGAAAACGTGCGCTAATGTTGTCAGTCAACTTTTTAACGGCAATTTTTCTGAAAATTCCAATTTCCAAAAGATATTTGTTGGCTCTAATGAATTTCATAGACTCCAACAAAGTTTTTTCTGTCCCAGATCGTGGTAGAAATTTTTACCTTCTAAAGGGAAGATATGAGTTGACTTGTAACGCTTTTAGGTTCGTTTGGGTGAGGTGAACAGTTTTCAACATTCCTATTATGCAAAAACCAGTTTTTTTGGGAATTTAGTTGATTGTCACATGTTTTTTTTAACCTAAAATTGTAGCAAAATTTAAACGAAATTATAACGAAAAAAAACTCTCACAAAGTGTAATGGTAAGATTTTTTATCAATTCCCAAACTTGTTCTGACGCTTAATGGCTTAAAGAGGAAAATATAAGAAAATGTATCAATGTATCATACTCTTTTTATTTCCTCAATGCTATTTTTAGGTTTACGAGGCGGCAGTAAAATTCAATAAAGAATGGCAGAAATTAAAAGGAAAAGTTGCCAAAATGGTTAGTTTTTTAGAAGCAAAATTTATTTTGAACGTTTAAATGTCTATCCGAGGATTTTAGAATTTTAAATTTATTATGCGTAGAAGAAGTTCATCTTTATTAGGGCAGATTTTACGCTTTAACACTCATGATGGGATATTGTTCAAAAATCCATCTATAGGTTTCATGACTCGTGTAAGTGGCTGTTTATTTGAACACATTTGACTTTTTTCCTTCTTTAAACCTTTTTTCTGCTAAATTGTAGTCAAAGAAATGATTTGAATTGAAAAATTGCAGTAAAAATCAACGAAGAATGAAGAAAATAATGTTTTTAATAAGAAAAATTGTAATAGCCTAATGGGAAACATTTTCAGAAAACAGAAATTTTAAAATAATTTACTGTCCACCACGGTTTTTCGAGCCTCAAAAATCGCCTAAAAATCAATGTGTAAAATCAATCTGAAATTTGGTCATTTACACCTTTGTTTTTCAACGTTGTTCCAAGATGAACATTTTGAGAAAATTAATGTTATTTGAAGAATTTAATATTCGCTTTATTTTTTATATTTTAAAATCGCTTCAAACAAGAAGGATAAAGTCATGCGGCAGTAAAAGGAACATGCTCGATGGGCTTGAGCAGATTTGCTGCTTTAGTCGCATTTTTCAAATTATTTCAAGTAATACACATTTTTAGAGATTTTCGCGTTTTAGTTAATCTTATGGTCTATAAAACATTTAATGAATTTTTGAGATTGCACTCAAATTCACTGCAAAGAAAATTGTGTTGATGCCCATTTAGACACATTTGCAAGCGCCTTTTCCTAAACGGGAATTCGCAGGCAAAATTGGGTTTTCACTAAAATTGCAGCAAAAAAGGAGAATAATTTAAAACAGTTTGTTTGCGTCAAAAGTGTTAAATTTGTCTTATCCGAAAGCTAATAGTGTTCGGGTTACAGAGCGTCAAAATGTAAATAAAGTTTTCGTTTTTTAACAATTTTTTTATCAGTTCTACTGCAACGAAAAAAAATTGTTTTAAATTGTAAACGCAAAAAATCTGGTGTTTCAAATGGTTCGAGATTACTGCATCAAACCAAGTTATAGGAAATTTGGATTTTTCGATGCAAAAAAACCCCAAACGCAAAGTTTCTTGGTAGCAGTAAAACTGGCTGGAAATGTTTTAAAAAAGCGAAAATTTTATTAACACTGGCACCTTGTACCTGCGGATATTATTAACTTTCGAATTAGGCAAATTTGATAGATTAATTGAGGAAAACAAAAAACTAGTACGAATTTTTTCCAGGCGGTTAACAGCAGTCAAATTATTTAGCTGAACTGGAATTCCTCGCTTCAATTCCCCATGCTTCTTTAAGAGCAAAAGAGCCGCAAAATTATTCAAATTGCCCTGTTTTTTATATTTGCGTTAAACGGTAAATTTGCCAGAAATGAATGCATTTCACGTCTGTGACGCGTTTGCAAGTTGGCTGTTGCAAAAACCTAATTGTGCAGAATAATGGCAACAGTGACGTGATTTAATTGCAGGTCGCCCCGATTTGTTAGGAAAACCGTCTCTCTGTTGTTCGTCCGACTTTTGTTCCGATTATCATCAAATGGCGAATTAAAATGCGACCTGAACACAAACGAGCGACTGCAAATAATTACGGCGCGAGCTCCATTTTTGATTATGCAACAACTAAACAACAGGCTATGCAATAAACAATTGCTTTGTTGCCTAATTTTCCTCGTGGCTCATCTCCAGGTTGTTTGGAGTTGAAAGTAATCAATTTTTTTCGCTGGGAATGCAATTTATGACGGTCAAATGGATGGCGTCGTATAAAAGGGCGACAATCAATTAGCGGCCCAGTAAATTGCTTATAAATAATTCCGGTTTATTGTTTAAGTGTGCCGCAATTATTCGACCGTGCGACATAAACGAACAGGGATTTTTTGATAAATTCGAATACCCATTTTTCGTGAGCTGGATGGGACTGTTGCTTGCGAACTCTCACCCCTAGTGGGTTGATTATCGCTCTGTTGGAATTTGGGGATAATTGTTTTGCATTTTTACTTATAAATCCCGAAGAATTAAAGAATGCAAACGAATAGGGCAGTTTTTTTGACGTAATTTTTTCCATTGAAAGGCTATTTTTTAGGGAAGTTATGAGGAAGCAGTTGATATATTGACTGGAAATTGCTTTTCAATTTAGAAGAATCTGGAAGTTGATGTATGTAAGCGAAAAGTTGAATAATTTCCCATTTCTCAAAAGTCCCATTTCTCAAAAACCAGTTCGAAATGCGAATTCGTCCGATCCAGTTTTTTTCTGGAAAATTTAGTTGTTGATTTAGAGTTTCTTCTGATTTAGAATCCCCAGAATAACCAGTGAAACATGAAAAAAATTGTCTGTGGGTCCCAATGGGTAGTCGGGAACAATTAAGCCAATTTAGGCGAGTTAAGAAGCAAATAGTGAGTTGCTGCATGATTGGGCACTTCTGAAGATTTGTCTCCTCATTGGCAAGAAAACTTCTTGGACACCCAAATTTTTTTACCAACAGCTTTTGGATC